GGAAATGTTTGTAACTACCTACCAGAAGAGATTACCAATGTGCCATTCGGAGAAAGTTTCAAGCAGCTTTTAGACAACCAGGCGCTGAGCAATTTAGGATCTTGAGGCTGTCACTGCAATTGCACCTAACCATCCAGGAAAGGTTTTGCACGGACAAGCAACAAACCCAGAATGATACGGAATCGTTGGAGCTGACAATGGAATTCTCTCCAGTTCTCCATCACTTGATGAACTTAATTTCGAATCGAGCCTTGACAACCTACATCCGCGACACGTGAAATATCAACGCCTAGTTTACGAACATGAACCTATCATTTTGCCGGCACAATGTATAGGAAACTAATGGAAACGAAGTAACGGGAACAATGAACAAATATTTATGTCGGGTAAAATAGCAGTTGCTTGACCATTCCATCAGAATGCTGGGGGTAAAACTACAAACGATGTAGTTCCACAAGAAATCGCCGTGCAGAAGGGAGAGTTACATTTGAAAGAAAAAAGTAGGCTATTTGATTCCCTTATGTTGATCATTGCTAGTTTCCTTTCGCCTGTGAGCAAATTCGTAGAGCTAAAATATACAACAATTTGCCGCGACTAGTGCCGACAATTCCAAAGTGCAACGAAAATCTGGCTTAACGATGATGGGGAATTTACAGTTGTGACACTTGACATTTTTACAACGCATCCTGTTGAACACCCATGTAGGTACATGTACAGTGTCAGTAGCGTTATCGCATGCGTAAATGCATTATGGTTCACATCAATAAAAGTATTTTTCTTCATGTATCGCAGTGCATTAATTGTATAGTTAAGAAATGCACGCGTTGATAATTCAGCGGCTATCGTTTGGCTTTATTAGCAACAAATAAACTTCGTACAGCTATCCTTTAGCTGAGCAGGAAAATCTTATGCCGAATTCACAGTTACTCTCACTGAAGATATGGATTTTTCTTTACGCGATTTGGCCGGTGAATACTGTCGATACGACTCTAGTTTCGTTATCATTCATGGACTGCAAAATACCGTTCAGGCTACATTCAGGTTACAAGCAACCCAAGACTTAGAGTTTGTCAACAAATTAAAACGGTTCTCTCTCTGCAAAGGAGCACCACATAAAATCCTAGACCAAGCCACCATAAAGTATACTCCCATAATCTATGACAAGACGAGTTACCATTATATTCTACTTGACAAAGATGGCTAGCTAAAGAAAAGCAAATGCCATCCCCGCAATATCGAGCTGATACGCGAATATACTGCCTCCAATAATTCAACAGATTTTACATCACTTGTGTGTCGAAGTACTGTGATCCATTAATCAGCCATTTGAACTTCTGTTTCGGTATTTCTTTTCCTTGCGGAAACATTTTCATCCTCGTAGATGAATTTGCATCTTCGTACCATACAAGACTGCGCAGACTCAAAGAAAATGCTTTCATACGTAAACATTCTGCTTCAGTAAACTTCTTATTGACTGATGTAAAAAATGAAATTTGCCTACTTAACCTTATATTATAGCAACTGTTGGAATGAATAATTGCCAAGGAATATAAAATGCTGCAGTTCGCGAGTGGAGTCTTCCGCAGCGTCACCCACATTTTCTCAATGTGGAGCAATTAAAAGCGCCATGTATGTGGTTACATACATTATTCTACAATACACTTACAGTCATTGCCTTACATAGCGTAGCAGTACACGAGATATAATAAAGATACGTTCATGCAAATCCTCGTTCTGCGCATAATATCTCAAAATGTCCTTAAGGATTACGTTAATATCATAGCAAAGCCCTGTTCAGAACCGTACACGTTGGGTTTATATCAACATAAGGCAGCCGACTGCAGGCCAAGCGCCAGCATCACACAAGTACGAAAAATGAAACCAGTAAGTGACGCTCCATTACGTGTAAGTCGGTGGTTTTGAAGACACTTACACAATTATTCTGGAAATAGTGCATGTGTAAACCCACTCAAGTGATGCATTTCAGTACGCCTATCGCAGGTCAAGTTTCACGTTTGATACATTAGCAACTTTTGTACACTCGATGCTTTCATCACTCGATAGTAAAAGGAAACCAATACGAATCTGCTTCATAGAATACAGCAATGCATTCGGTAGTGTAAACTGCCAGCTACTGATACCCGGTCTACTTGTTTCAGCAATTCAACCTTTATGAGTACTTTTCTTACTTACTAATTTGCTCATCGTATGCAGTTTACCAGACTTTGTAAAAGACTTCTCCTCGTTCACCACAAATTCCGTTGTTATTCACTGACGTAGTTCCATATATACTAGCTGAGTTCCCGCTCCAAACGAAACCACTCTGCTGAAGGATGCTAATGAAGGGATTCCTGGTGTACACCTTTACAACTTATATTCATCGTCCAACTTTCAATGCTTCTTAGACAACCTCACGACCAAGTCTTCAACTCTCGCTGTCTTTAACCCAACTCATCAAAGTGTAAGGTTATTTTTCTCATTTTCTATAGAATAATATTACCAGCAACTCCTCAAGCGCACTCCACAATTCGTATGGACGGTTTCAGTCTTATTTGCTGTAAATCAGTGAAATATCTAAAGGTTACATTAGATAGGGGTTTTACAAGATCCTGCTATATGATCGAAATATTTACTAAAACCAGAAGCCATCGATCTATCTCTAAACTGGGGTCTTCATCCGTCCCTCATTATTTGGTATTACGGTATATATCCGCTTGCGTATGACGGCATTGGCTAGATTGCTGCTTTGTGTTGTTTCCTAGACTTTCAAACGGGCAATTCTAAGTTAGCACTAGGTCACTAAATCATCTTGCACGATATTACAGCAGACGATTAGTGTAATCGCGTTTGCTAGTGCAAGAAACAATCTTCCAAAATACTCACTGTCGTCCGTCACCCCCTTGTGCATTGTCGAACGTGCCTTCTGATTTTCGAACAGACAAACGTGCATAGTCCCTTATGGCTTCACACCAAGTTACGGTTAGTCAATTGTTCCCTATTTAACACCTTTTATGACGGATAACAATGTAGTCAGTGAATTTATTGTCATATTTTGTAGATGTTGTCACCATTGCCACCCTTTCCGATTGATATCCCACCATATACATTTGCTACATTATGTCAAAATGTATTTGTGTCCTTAGTGTTTGCGTTGTAGCTTAATCTTTCGTGTGAAAAAGCGTAGTGTCAACTTTACTTAGTTAATTAGTGTCGCTTCAAGATATAAGTTGATTAGCGGTTTATCTCAGATGTAATTACATGGGTTAAGCTACTGACACGAGCCCGCTCTTTCAGGATTCGCAGCCGTTTTAAGAGAAATGATAAAAGTCTAGCCGCCACTTAGACTGTTTTAACAGGGCAACAGATGTTAAAGCGTTATTTGCTGTAGTCTAAAATATGATCACAATAAAGCGAAACACCATCTTCGACAAATTGTGCAGAATCAGTTAAAGCAAATGGTTTTGGATCCTGACTGTTTGATAATCTTGTAATGGCGTTTAAACGGCGTGAGAGATGATATCTACCGTTTAAGTTTGAAAAAGATTTTATGGCGCATTTTCTGGACTGCACAAGAAAGCAGTTTTGTATTCAAAGCAACTGCTTGTGTACACAGCGTCTAACTGGGTCGCTTGTTTAATCGAATATGTCACTAGATCTGGGTTGTATCGGACACCGCTGGAGTAGGTCATATACTAATCGCCACAAATAAGAAAGATCAGGGCGATAACGCGAAAAACCGGTTTATTCTGAAGTGTGAAGTGTGAAGCGATTATCATCCTAGTTATCTGAACTTGCTAAACTAATCCTCGAATGGTTTATTCGGCATGACGACACTTTGGGGACAAAAGCAAGACGTAGCCCACAAATTATACCGAACAGATATTTTCTATTTTTGAAATAATTTCGATCAGCTAAAAGTATTTCCAAAGATGTGGAGTGCCTTTACGGAACTCATGTTCAAAATTGGTAAGTGAATTCAGTCGATTGGCTGACGTTGTGGTTAATTGGGACAGCCATGGAGATTTTTATTCTCAGATGCCTCAAAAACAACATCAAGCCCCAGGAATTGTAGTCAAACCACCAAGTAACTAATTTGCTTCCGTTAAAATAACTTCCAACGCGAGTAAACCAAACCTGAAACAACGAATTTATCTGTCGCGAATCCCCAGCAATAAAGAACAAGCAGGGCGTGTAAGCAAAAATCACCAGATTTTGTTACTACATTTTATGAACCCACTAGTACGGGTGAAGTATTCAGATTCTTCAGCCTGCAGTAGCCGATTGCACCTACGATCATGGGTCCCGATTTCAAATCAATACTTATTGCTAGGTCTTCTTCAGGAGACCGAAACCACCCCTGTCGGTAGCTGAATAAGGCGACTAGAAGCAATTCCATCTTCGTACATTGCCTTGGTTAACCAAGAACTCACGCCGCATTGTGAATCGCGGTCTATCGAAAGCACACTAATCTCTTTGTTTGGCCGGATTTGTGCGTGTGCGCCTCTTGGAACTTGCTGCATAACGTGACACACGGATTTGACCTCAGGGATTTGTGTGCACGGAGTGGTGCTCAAGTCTAGCCTCTGGAGATACGATTTCAATTGCCCTCCGCTACCAAACGAAGTGCAATCCAAGCTGACATGCTAGATCAATCACGGCGATCCGCTGCTCTAACCCACGGCTCAGTAGCATAAGTCGCTGATTCTAAAGCCTAAGGTCTTGAGATCGAATTTCGCCGTATTCTGCGGTTGCGTGCTACTGACGTGTCCCAATAGGACGGAACAACCCTCTAGCCCCCTCCTGGATTTGTGGTGGGAGCCTGGCTGAGATGAGGTGCGATGAATCTTCTAAAAACACCATAACTTCCCCATACTATTTAACAATTAACATGCACTATACAAAACGCTGGCATGCTTTTGGTAAAAGCTATGGAGCGCATTAATATGATGTCGATTGAATTAACCTTGATTGCATTAACTTTGCTTAATGTGGTGAATGCCTCAGTCTACCGAACTGTGGTTTGACTCACCGAAGGGTTTTCCAGTCAGAGGCGCGCGAGGAGGCACTGTTGAACACAGATTACACGCACATATAGTGATGAACGGCCGTGCGATGATCGATATACGAAGTCACCCATAATTCAAAACCTTTTAATGTTGCAAGCTACAGGGCTACTGAAATAAAGATACTTAAACAATAAGCTGTGTACTTTGGTTACTTAGGTATGCATACAAATAACAAAAGCAATTTTAATTCTCCTCAAATGGGTTTGTATGACGGTGGAATTGATAGACACTGAATATTTAACAATGCTAGCATATACGAGCCTACTAGCCTATAAACTAAATTATAAAACTTGCACAAGAGACGACTGCCTAAATTTGTCCAGAAAGTTGGACGCAGTTTGAATGAGTCTAACTGGGATGAAAATTATCAATGGCATATTAAGCCTTCTAATACTCACTAATAGACACAGGCATATATATACACATATATAAACATATATATATATATATAGCCATCGGTTCTGTATAAGAGTAGAGTCGCAGTGAGAACGTAAATACATGCCCCACCATCATTGGTTCTCCTGTTCCTTACACAAAGGTTTGATGGGTTGCTGCTTCGATTGACCATTTTATGAGCACGAGTAAGCCTCTTGGTCTATTATCTAATACCATGCAACAGAATAGGGAAAACTAGAGCTCCTTAGATGCATAATACAAGCAGAGTACGTGCGCTCCCTTCTTAAGATATTCCTCTCAGTATAATATCTCAAATGCAACATGCGATACAAGTGTTGTAAAACAGGTTTCTTAGATTAAAATCTATTGTTAGGATAATGGGGCGGTTAGTTAACGCTAAAATTAAATTGTTGTGCATACCATAGAAGGCAGCTTCCTGTCGCATATGTGCAGGAAACATGCAGGTTCCGTAACGCGGCTTCAAGCTTTTTGCTAGCTTCAGATTCGTCAATTCTGTTATCGGGTTGTCGCCCATTTCTGCTGGCATCAGCAAGTTCAGTTTTACTAGGAAGCTCGAAGGATTTATGACCGATTCTTCAATGAATTCCACACGACATTTCATTAACCACTGGAATACAAATGCCAAAACCGATTAGCTCGATCAACGTGAAGGATATTGTGATTTGGTTAGAACTAATGTTTACAATTAAAAGGAAGTTTTATTAGTTAGGTATCTTAGCAATTAGAAGCAAACAGGTATATTTGTCACATATTCGTAGGCATTTGCATCCCAGTTAAAATCTTGCAGGCTTAAGGTTAATGTCACTTAATTACTCACTTCCCAATACATTGTTCTTGTCTGTGTTGGTGAAATTGAGAGCCGAATAACGTTTCAGTTCCTCGAATAAAATATCATGTGCAACGTTTGTTTTCTCTTAACTACAAGTGACTGATAAGTAAAATTGCTGATATTTACGCAATTATTGACACAATAGCAATCCTAACTGAGAGGAAAGAATCAGTATACGAGATTTGATAAAGTATTGTAGCATGGACATTGGTCGTTGCCTCATTTATCATCGCGTGGGTCATATGAACAACCAAGAGTTACTGATTTGAACATGAAATAACTGAGTACAAACGTTGAAGCGCACAGAATGTGATCGTATAGCACAACTTTACCGAAACTTGTTAGTAAAATGTTGAACCTATTTTGCTTCATTTTACAGCGAAACGCAGTTTAGCTAACGTGGTATGAGTGTAGCTACCTTCATATATGGTCAAGCGCATCTAATCCTCCTTTGATTTATGTATGTAGACGAAGTCTGACGGGCTGGTAGATTTAGTTGCCTAGCTATCAGTTTCGAAAACCACGAATACCCAATCCAGAAGAATAGAATCGATATGTAGACTCACTCATGAATCCCTTTAAACAAAGACACATACTGAACATCTATGGATTAGACCTTACAGTTTAGACCTGTTCGAATCATTTGTTATTTCATATCCATCAATCTTAAGGAGTGAAACTGAATCGACAGCATTCATGTGCTGTGGGTGCTAAGGCGCAGCTTTAACACTTGATCCGAAGCGATTACCACTTGCATCTTCGTCTCAATAATAGACTGATGGTAGAGTATGGCTATCTCGCGTATTGTCCCATCACCCGGGACGTGATAGAAGATTGAGTGAATGAAACGTGCGGGAACCAGGCTGATTCCGATTTTACCATGTGGGCCGTAGAAAGACCGGTGTAAGAAACTAGGACTTTACACGCTAGTTTCTTATCGACTGCGGATTGACATAATCATGACGCACAGGTTATTACATCTCGTTGCATACACCATGTTGAGGCCGTTGCTACATCAGTGCACAGATGCAACACACGAGGACACAGGTACAAGCGTGTAGTGCGGGATTTGAAGCGGGTCGCTCACCAACTCTGTTTTGAACTGAGAGTGGTGAATGTATTGAACAACTTGCCGCAGCACGAAGTTGAGGAAAAGTCGGTGTCGGAATTTGAGAAATTCCAGGACAAGCAAGTTGCCAATATAAAATATATCGAGAGCACTCCAACATAAAGCGTCTTTCTACCTAAGTGATATTACAAGCAGCTACAAATTGATATCTCATCTTGTTTTCTCCAACAACTAATCAGTTACCCAAGCAGCAATGACCTAAAACTCGGATGCACATGTAGCGGCCAGAAGAAATCAGTTTATACCTGGAGTAGGAGGAGATTAGCTTAAGCATGCAACGCAGTACCACTTAGAATGTCTTAAACTACCTGTTGAAACCAAATTGTGATCAGGGGCTTGGAGGCACATGATCAATTCATGTATGATGAGCCACTGTCATATGAAATTTGCTAGCAGTTATATACGTGGTTTTTTATTGCATGTTGACATCTAAACAAATTAATCAACCTAGGATTCCATTGGCAAATAGTAGATTTCTGATGCATTTTCATCTGAAGATTCAACACTCCTAAAAGTTCCCGCAAAGACACTGAATATCTATTCAAGTACATTGATGATGGACCCTGGTTTGCGAAATACAAGATGCATTGCAGTTTTATTTTTGCTCAGGCTGATAGATAAAAACTCCGCCTAATTGAGCACTTAGGAAATTGTCTACTTGCCTTTTCGAAAAAAATCGCGCAATGATCGGCCTTGCTATCCCCGACTGTCATGACCGTGTCCACGTCTTGAGAAAATAATAATAATAAACACATTAGATTATATAACGTTCAAAAGATTGATTCGGTATGTCGCGATTACACATACACGCACACGTATACTTCTAAAGTGCAGTTAACGTTCTCCTAAATAACATCAATCAAGAGAACATATGTTAGCCAACATATAGAAATGACTTTGTTTTGAGTGTTCGCAGCTGTGCCTGATGTTTGTTGGAAGCGTCATAGCATTTATAATGTGATGGTATCGAATAAACAAAAAATAACTTTAGCAAGCAAAACAATGCAGACTCACGAAGCGGCGCGCTGTTACCAGCTGTTACATAAGGGGATCAGTATAAAGAAGATTGTCAGCATACATGCATAATTTTCTGAGAGGAAATGCTTTGTGCTGCATGTTGCTAGACAAAGTAAAAGCCATATTACTCAATCACTTATTCACTTATTCCAAACGTTAAGTGGTTAAGGACATCTGCTTAGCCTTGAGTACGTTCTCATCAGCAGCTTCATTTCTGATTAACTTGTAGTAGTAAATATTTAAAACTTTAGTAACTTCACTCTTTTAATAATACACTTATTCTTCACTTTGATAACGTTACATGCTTCACAAATAACGGATCACTAACACTGCTTCTTCGGCCAATAGATTCCAGCAACTCGAACAATAGTCGTAATCGGATCGTAGGCCATGTTTCTGAGATATCGCACTGGTCCGATCCAGTTTTCTGGATAATCCCACGTAACCATCTCTCTATTGCCATGCACTGTGAAACAAAATTCAATATTGGTCTGGTTTTCTACTGAGTCGCATTTCTTGGAAATCAAGGCGATACCATTTGTTTTGTTGTGGGGGAACTGGATAAGAGATGGGAAAAAGTAATGTGTATCAGAGACTTTCCATCTGCTAGGTTACGTTATCTAAAGGAAGACAATTTACAAAACATGCAGGCTCATTAGAGAGGAACTCAATGTATACAATTTAAGAGCACAGGATGTTTGACGGTGAATTAATGTAGCAATTTATTAATGCTTTATGAGCACGAAATTAGATACTCAGCAGATCTAGTATAATGTTTAGGGTGGAAATTACATGTAGAATATTTGATGTCTGAGAAAACTCGAAAAATATATGGCACACCAAAACCTGTCTATCAGAACCGATGTGAGCATTTCTCCCTTGAGTTCCTAGGCAGTACTTTAGTGCAACCTTTCTTCACACCAATATATCAGTTGAAATTCACTTAGGGTATCATATAGAGCACACATATCAGCATGTCATCAAGTTGACTTTTGAATAATGATAGTGTTGGACACTAATTACATGCACTGCAAGGTAGTTTCATGGCTGGGGCAGCGCGAGGGAGAACGTTTCGTCGACGTGTCATTCCGCTATAATCGTGGTCAGTTTAAACCGTTGGCCTCACAGATATTTGCTTTGCATAGGTTTCAGAGATGGTGTTAAGTGCGCTTATGGTATTCTGTTTTCTGATGCACCAATATGAGATTACCCCGTAGAGGGCGATGAGGCCTTCTATACGCACATAGAGTATTCCGTCCGACAGTACAGGGAAGGGTTGATAAAACGATTGACCTTTCTTCGCCAAGTGAATAGCACACTCGAAACGCGGTTGGGTACTGCTCCTGCCGCCGTTGCCACGCTTGGATAGTGTATTCTAAGTGCTTACTGCCGTACACGCCAAAACTTTGCGGAAAGTTTAGGACGGCAAACTTTCCGAATTCACCATGCAGAAGGTAAGGCAACAATTTCTTTTCTTTGGGGCCTTCCGGACTGCTTTTAAAGAGCGAGGGTTTTGTTGCACGCTCAACCTGGTGTCGCTCGTATCAGAAACGCGCTACAAAATTTGCAGCCCCAGTAGTTTATGTGAGTGCTCTTTGAGTGTATGGTTATGATGTTTTCGGTGGCTTTGAACTGGGGGATGTTCTCAATGGATCAAGTGCAAGCTCTATTCAGATCAGTTTAAAGAGCTGCTTGCGGCTCATCTGTAGTGATAGTACGCAATAACTCTAGATCATAGGCGAATGGTAGAAAATTTGAAGGAAGATCCAATGCGAGGTTATTTATGAAGACTAAGAACAGGCGTGGTCGGTGTATCGAGTAATGCGTCACAAATTTTAGGAACATAAAATGCACACCGTTTTTGAACCGTGGTTGGAATATTGGGAAAAATGCCCATAAATCATCAATTGCTTCATATGAATAGCAAATATGATGAGTAAGATTACTTACCAGAGAAAGTACAGTATCCTTATGGTCCGAAGTCGTCAAAATTTCCAATTCGTATGCTGCAAAGGCGATCAAAACTAAGCAGGGAAGCGGCCACATCCAACGTACTATGAGGATAACGCGACAAAGCTTATGTTCTGGGAGAACTGTCTTGATAGATTTATGTGAACGTCACGTGTACACCCCGTGCTTCACATTAAATTACACATTTTACGGACTAGCTCTCCACAATAAGATGTAATGTCCAAAGCGTTAATCTGTACGAGTAATTACCCGTGTGATTTGTAAGTGACTGTAAATTTGCCACCTTGAACGCGATGAATCTTAATTGATATCGGTCGACCAACGTCCCATAAGGTTCAGTCGCATAAGCTGCGAGTTAGTTGGCACAGGCTGCTAGCAGACATTACATCGGTTTCCAGAAACGACTGACTAAGTGCGCATAAATGAGTATGTCTACATAATGTGGCAAAACCATCCAGTAGGATTTGTAGAATTTCGTGTTAGACTATATGGCTTGTGAACTATTGGGACGAACCCGTACATACTGAGTCAAACTCCTAATCGTTAGAAATCACTAGTAGTCCATGCGCGCGACAAAACTGCGGCATTAAGAGTAAATTCGAAGCACCGTACCTAAGCAATTATGAATTACATTGTACCCATGGGGTGGAAAGAATTTGGGACATTCCAGAATCTGAATGTTGTGCCCTTGCGGCAGATACAAAATTTTGACGGAATTTACTGACCATTTCTCACGACATCATGCACAGTGAAATTCTGCACAATCTCTGTAATGGTCAGCAAATCCCAGTTTACAATGAAGCTGCCAATTAGGTTGACTAGTGATTTGTCCGTTACATCAGTTATGACATTCTGTTATGATGTACATGGAGATTTTTTAATGATACAATGTATGTTCGTGATTTGCAAAGACGTATCATTAACACAAAGAAAATATGTGCAGTTTGGTGTAGGAATAAGAAACGATAAATATGTTATGTTTTTTATAAGAGCAAAACTTCAAAACCAGTGAACTGATAGCATGCGGGTGTTGAGCCGTGCCGCATACATTTCAATGACTCACAAACGTCAGAAGTATTAAATGTTATTAGGACTTACCGAACGAGCCTTGGCCGACAATGTCAACTTGAATCGATAAAAAATCAGAGCGGGAGAATAAATAAAAGGTGACGAACGCTAACCATATCTACAATGGGAGTGAAATTAATGGGTCATTTCGAATTATTTTGTTCGCAATTATTTTCGTTTCATTCGGCGGTATTTACAAATGCGATTTCTACAAACGAAACCGGTTGCTTGCACTGATTTTACAATCTATTATACTCCATTTGGAGACGGAGTAGTGCGTTATTATATATACTCAACTTACGCTCAACAAATCGATGTTCCGGGATTGCGAAAATGGCTCGTGAATCGCCGACTTGCAGTAACGTTCTGTCCTCGCTCTTCACGGCGCGCATTTTACATACACACGTCAATTCCATTGTTTGGGGATCATAGGACCATCGGTGCAGAAGGCATTCCGCTTCTGAATCCAGTTTGAAAAACGAACGCTGAGTGGTTCAAAGCGAGAATGTTGAGTTGGCGTTGTCCAAAATATGCCATGTGAAATAGATCCTTTGAAATGGCAGCTTGAAAGCGGTATTTAGTAAAGGACATAAATATTTTAACCTTTTTGCACTGTAAAGCTCATGAGAAGTAAATTGCGCCTAAACAAGTATTGAAACTAATGTAATCACGAATACGACAGGTTATGGTGTAATGATAAACCACCAACTTGATTTCCACAGTGTAACTCCACGGTTGATCCAATTGTTTGATTCATAAAGTCCAAATATGGCCTGCGGTCCACTGCAACCGTAATTGACACGAAGTCTGAAGTAAATGATGTTTTATCACAGGTTTAGTACGAACAAACAATGTTTAGGAGTTATACTAATTGACTTATACACAAATTTGTTTGTTAGCAATACAGTGCAAAATTGACAATAGGTCATCCAATTCTAATGAAGGGAGGTTGTTTCACGTAGGAATAAATTCTGGAACATTATAAAATAAAGTGATGAGTTTTGAATGCTGTCGATATGGCCAGGCGTGTATTGACTTTCTCATTTACTCAAACTTCTGCCATTCAGCTCGAGAATTGATGTAATATCGGGCTAAGTAAATTGATACTGATAATTGCGCACAATTAAAGCAGACGTCGAAAAGTATGCTTATGGTCGGAAACCCGGCTTATGTGAAACCATAGCATCGGTTCCTGGCAAAGCACATCAACTGAAACATTACAAAATCAATTCCGAGCTTACAAAGGCTTTAAATGAGTTTATCCTATGCGATAAAGTGATGTCCACATTGAATGCACAATGGCTTTTCACCAATGTTCCGCTACAATAAAGAGTTGCTTACGTGTATGAAATAGCAGATTGCTCCGGTCGAAAACTTTCAATGCCAGTCGAATTAGTAAAGGACAGCTTACTACTATGCACTAAGTACATGGGTTTTCAATTCCAAAACATTCCCTTTCGCCTAATAGATGGGGTAGCAATATGTAGTCCATTGGGCCCAGTGTTAACAGATTTTTTGATGTATATGATTGAAATGAATTTGAGTGTAGGTATATCGCTTCTTTTATAATATAAGAGGTATGTGGATGATGTTTCAGTGTTTAGCTCATCAGAGAAGTATATTAGGCATCTGGTCAATTGCATGAATAACGTAAATACGAATCTAAAAGTAACCAGCGGAAAAAAGAAAAGCAACTGCCTTCCATATCTGTACGTGTTGATTTACCGAAAGGCAGTTGGATCCATCAAACCGACTTGGTAAGGGCAATACCTGCACGTTACCAGCTTCTCCACAGTGTGGTACAGGCACAAATTAGACAAGACGTTATTCAACCGTGCAAGGAAAATATGCACGACGACAGTTTGGATGAGGATAAGCTCGCTCAAGGAAACGGTGTTGCAGAATGCTTATGCGAGTAGATTCATCGGCAAACGTAATCAGGCGAGGGTGCGGGCACAGTAGGTTTCGACAGTGTCTAAAAAGAACATCTAAATCTAGCTGCCATTTAAGGGAGATTTTGCCAATATGAGGACAACGAAGCGCATAAATTCCGCAATCCAGAGGACATATTATGCTGCCGAAACTGTTCTTATCAACCGGACTAAGCGAGTACCTGTTACCCAATGACCTGAAAGACAACCTATTGGCGCCAACTCACATTTTATTTACAATTTACTTTTAGTTGTGGTAAACACTGCATCGGCCATACCAATAGATCGTTGAACTGCAAAATAAGGGAACATGTACCTAAATGGTTGCATCATCAAACCACACAGTCGTCGGTCGCTCATAACATCTGTTCATGTAAGCGACCTGCTTCATCCCTAGGTAGGCATTTACCAGCCACCTGTCATCAGTTTGATCCGGCTAAAATGTTCCTAATCGTGTTAAGTCATGCTAACACCCGTTTCCTGCATTTCGCAGAGCCGTCGCCATCAGGCGTACCAAACCCGCATTCTGCGTGCTGAAACAGTTGTTCGTAAGCCTATGGATGCCCTGGGCGTAGGCGTGTCTAGCCTGCCCCCTACCATGTTCTAACATGTTCCGGTCTCACCCTACCTGTCGTCTTATGTATTTTCATGTTATTGTCTTGGCACTGAAGCGACAATCCGAAATGTTGACATCTGCCAGTGTTCGTCTTCTGGTGGCTTTATTCAAATTACTAAAGTGGTCTAATTGTTCAAAATCACTTTAGTCACTATGTCTTAATAAAAATGACATACCAGTGATTAACCATATTTCATGCTTAGTCTAAGTTGCATTTCAAAACGCTAACTGATGCTGAATAACTGTAGTTATGAAGAATTGTTAGAGTCATGGTCAAGTTTCATTTCCAACTCACCGCTGCAGACGCCAAGCAAACAAGTTAGAAGGCAAAATAGAGTTGCCATAAACATCTTCCAAGTAATTTTGTCTCGAATATACCTTGGCCGTTTACGTAGAGTGATTGAGCTTCTGGAATGAAAACTCATACAATCTATAGGCTTCCGTACGAATTTAGCAAAAATAGTAGCCAATCATGGAACAGACTAGACAGGTGTACGCTGAGAGGGGTCACTTGTGGCAGCCTAAGATGCTACGCGTGTCGCATGAACCGCACTTTTGACGTGTCATTGAAGTTGTTATTATTGGTTCACTGTGCTTGAAGCGTTGGACTGTTATTTAGCCTAAGCCAAATGAGCTATATAGAAAGACAGGAACAGTTTAATACAATGGCGTTTAAATCACAGTGACATGCTTGCATGATAAAGGAACATGGATTCAAAACGCGCTGAGAGGCCCACTCAGGCGGATAAGATTTCACATGATTTTTGATACCTTAACAGTCATAGCATCGTAGAACTTTACTTCTAACCGGCGGTTTATAGCACGGTAGGTAGTAACAAATGGTAAGATTTTTCAAAAATTCTGATAAATAAATGAACGGTATATCACTCTGTACCGCTGTGTACAATTCAATTGCATGTTATAATTTATACCTGTCTCTGAGATTGCATTACGTAATTACATTCTCGAGCTATCATAATGGTTCTCAAACAGATGTTTGACCGGATTGTCAGGTAGAATTTACAAAATGTTGGAGAATTTGGGAACAATGATTAAGGCAGTGATAGCCACGCTTTCATTTGACGTAACATGGCCACACGTGGAACTGTCTCCAGGGTAACTGCTTCCATGCAGTATAATTTCAAGAAAAGATTCACCCAGCATGCCTGCCTCCTGTAGTCCTGTTCCAGTGTAGCAAGCAAACTATCAACGCTTTAACACGTAGACCAGTTATTACATGCACATATTGCGAGCGGTTAAGTCCTCACGCCTGTTTCATAATTCGGCTTTTGTGAGCATGGCATCTTTTTATTGAATGTCGGAAGGTAGTAGCAGCCCGCCCTTCATTGGTCAACCTATATAATGCGAAGTTTCCATAAGTTAACTTTCTAGGACTGCCCATCGGTAGCTAACTAGGAAATACAGAAGTATACAACGGATGAGTTGATAAAAGTGATAATAATGACAACTATGCTAATAAATATCAAGTGTCGCCACCATTGCATGCATGGACGCATCATCTAATCAAATTGTTCGGAGGGACAGCCGGGAACAGATGGATGCTTAAACTATACGTTGGCTAGGAAAGAATTTTCTTAATCAACATTAGTTCCTTATCTTTAAACAGGAGAGATTTCAACATAGCCAAGTGCTAGTACCTACTATTTGACAACGAGCTGCTGCCGTTTAAATGGAATTGGTACACACAATAGAAGAAGAACCTAGGAAGAAGAGGAACCAAAGAAGGAATATTATGCCATGCTCAGTTTGTTGTTGGATTACGTAGATTGCATTACGCAACAACAGAAAATATATTTTCTATCACAGAAATGCGGATGTCTTTTCTGATAGAATACATTCCACTGGGCGTAGAAATGCATTCCGAAGAAACCTAGCATGTAAACGATTATTATTCATATTGTTAACGCCACGTCGCACGATTTAGATTTAAATGCATTGAATCATATTGTATAAAGCATGAACTTGTGGCAATTACTTTTGAACCATCACTGCAACACTTGCCGTTAAATACCGACTCCACCTTGGTATTGGCAAATGATGACTTTGCCAAAATGGTCGTTTGTGTGATCCAGCGCTCTCAAGTTGAAGGAACCAACAAAAGTCGAACATCATAGAAGGCGTGCAATTGCCACTCTAGCGCTGCTCCATGACTTACATGTCTCACTGAAAGCGCTCACCATGCTTATCACTAACAGACCAAAGTTCTCAGAGAAAATGTCGATAATTATGAAAAAATTTTCATCTTAATTGACATTCAAGCACCGACAGCCCGATAGTCCGCAATGAGCTATCCTGTGATGTCCTTTTAGTTCTCTGCCTACGTACCACACAAAAATCCTGTACCTACTGCCTTGTATGATCGACACGCTTCTAACTCAAATTAAGTCAACTGATATTCAAAAACACTATTTGTCATTAGTTGGCAAATACCAGTCCCAATAAGCATCCCATCGTTGAGCTTTGCATCAATGATCTTCGGAAACACATATTTCAGGTACTGGAACGCAAAACCTTCTCGATCGATGGACTTGACTAAGTATTTAATCAAACCAAGCATGATGTGCGTGATGGTAGATATATATGATCAGGTTGCACATGAAGTGTACGCTTTACCTACATTTTTCCAGACAGCATACTCCTTCCTCTTTGGCCACTTTTCGGTGATGCCATGCTGTTCAGTTGCTCTACACTCTAAAAAGCATTTGAAACAACAATACTGTGTTAGGTCTAATTGCATACCTATTAGGATACCAATCACTTTGAAGTCAGCACAGATGTACTAACGGTAGTTATCTTAGTTCAGATTAGCGAATATCTGTTGCATACATTCATAACTCACCTTCATATTGATGACATGCAACAGAGGCAAAATTGGGTACGCATTTCCATTGTGGAGCAGCTTGGCCTTTCGACCACTCTTGAAGGAGTCCATGAACAAATTCCTTTCATCAACGAGATGCTTCACGCCAAGCGGCTTCATCAGTCCTTACCCGTCCGAACAGTGAGGGAAGGTATCGATCGTGTCATATAAACAGGAAATTTTAACTATTTGAAACAATTAGATCCCTTTAGTAATTTGAATAATGTCGTAAGAAGACGAACACTGGAAGAAGTCAACATTACGTATTGTCTCTTCAGTGTCAACACAACAACATGAAAATATATAAGACGACAGGTAGGGTGAGAACGGAACAAGTTAGAAAAGGTAGAGGGGCAGGCGTGACACTGAGAACATCGGTTTCGAATTCCAAAACATTCTCTATCGCCGGATAGATGGGGTGGCAATTGGTAGTCCGTTGGGCCCAGTGCTAGCAGATTTTTTCATGTCAATGATTGAAAAGAAGTTGAGTGTGGAAATATCGCTTCTTTCCTACTATAAGCGGTATGTGGATGTTATTTTAGTGTTTAGCTGATCAGAGGAGCACATTGCGCGTCTGGTCGATCGCCTGAATGACGTAAATACGAATCTGAAAGTAACCGGCAAAACAGAGAAAAGCAACTGCCTCCCATATCTGCACGTGTTGGCTTACCTAAGAGCAGATGGGTCCATCAAAAGAGATTTTTACCGAAAACCGACTTGGTCAGGCAGTACCTGCACTTTACCAGCTTCTATCCAATACGGTATAAGCCGACCTTAGTCAAGACGCTATACAACCGTGCAAGGAAAATATGCACTGCCGACAGTTTAGATGATGAGATAAACTCGCTCAATGCTACTCTGTTGAAAAATGGCTATCCAGCTAGATTCATCAACAAACATGGTCAGGCGAGGGTGCCGGGCCAGAAGGTTTCGATATTGTCTAAAAAGAATATCTACATCCAGCTACCATTTAAGGGAGATTTTGCCAATATGAGGACAACGAAGCGCATAAATTCCGCAATCCAGAGGACTTAGTATGCTGCCGATACTGTTCTTATTCACCGGACTAATCGAGTACCTGTTACCCCATGACGGAAAGACAACCTATTGGCGCCAACTCACATTGTATTTACCAATTTACTTTTAGTTGTGGTAAACACTGCATCGGCCATACCAATAGATCGTTGAACTGCAAAATAAGGGAACATGTACCTAAATGGTTGCATCGTCAAACCACACAGTCTTCGGTCGCTCATACCATTTGTTTACGTAAGCCACCTGCTTCACCCATAGGTAGGCATTTACTGGCCACCTGTCATCAGTTCGATCCGGCCAAAATGTTTCTAATCGTGTTAATACTTGCTACCGCCCGTTTCCTGTGTTTCGCAGAGGCAGTCGCGATCAGGCGTACCAAACCCGCACTCTGTGTTCAGAAACAATTTTTCCGAAGCCTAGGGATGCCCTGAGCGTAGGGGTGTCACGCCTGCCCATCTTCCTGTTGTAACTTTTTCCGGTCTCACCCTACCTGTCGTCTTATATATTTTTCATGTTATTGTGTTGGCAATGAAGAGACAACACGAAATGTTGACATTTGCCAGTGTTCGTCTTCTTCGGCATTATTCGAATTTAACTTTTCACTTCTGTTTACAGTAAACGTACTTTTTGCAGCAAGTGAGTGCCACTGCAGCAGCCGAGATGCTAGCAACTCTGACTTGTCTATAGGTAAGCCCAGGTTACGTACCAGGTCATTCAGCTAAGACTGTTCGATATCTTGTGTATTGATATCATTTACTTTAAAGTGTTCACAGACGTCGGAATCAGGGGTAGCTGACGATGCGGAATCACTATATATCATCAGTGGTGTGTTCACTGGAATGGGTAGGCATGAAGAGCAGGTCGAATGGCTGATGGAATCTAGGAATAATGAAGTTGTCTTTGTTTCGGTTGGATATTCCAATGCCACTGTTTAGACAGAAGTAGCAGTCTGCCGTGTGATGCTTCGACTCCCTCTACACCATGGGGTTTGCAATAATATCTTGCATTTGTCCTTAAGCCACTAAGTCAGATGAAGATTGCACGACACACAAATATCAAGCGGCGTCCAATTGATTATCCAGATCTCCTAGTTTCCTCCCGAGATGTACGTGGTAGGCAGACTTCAGTAGAAAAGAAATGTGTCCGTACTGAATCTTGTAATAAACAATTCAAGAACGTAACAAAAAGAATGCAGTGATTGACAAAGCAGCGTCTTTCAGCATGATCAAATAACAAATTAGAGAAACACCGCTCGCAATCACCTTTCAGAATAAGGTGGATGACATTGCCACTAGGAATTGTCCCACCATTACAGGGAGCTAATGTACCTGATACGTGCAAGTATTCGATGCATGGAATGCACAGCTTAGCTGAAATAAAAATTTACAATTTAACATAACTCGTGATGGAAAGATTTGGTTTGCATAT